TCTCACTATTTCTCTCTCCCCTTCCTCAACTTTAAAATTAAGTTTTAATGTACATTTTGGCTTATTTTAATATTTTAAATTCTCCCAGAAAAATGTTATGTTTTCTAATTTTACTATTTTACTGTGAAGGCTCTGTTGCAAAACTGAGATAGAAACACCACTATTCTCTCCATAGAGCCCCCCTGACTTAATGACAAATTAGCAAAATACTTCCCTGAATGTTCTTTAATTTTTTTTCTCTGCAGGTGATGTATCTCCCATCAGTATGTCTCCCATCAGTCAATCACAGTTTATCCCACTTGGGGAAATCCTTTGCTTGGCCATCTCTGCAATGAACTCAGCACGAAAACAAGTCACACAGGAAGCACTAATGGAACATTTAACAACTTGCTTCCCAGGTAAAATATATGCGAATGTATCTATACATTTTTAGTAACATTTGTAAAGTTTTGCAGAGTTATTTTTTCACAGATACATGTTCAGATTATGTGTCCTGCCTCACTTTGATAGTGAGTCTGAGCTTGTCCACTCATTCACAGTGATATGTAGTGTTAACATGACAGTTGCATGCTTCATAGCTGTTAATTTGTATAGACATAGAGCAGATAGATCATTAAAATATTCCCAAATGAAAGTAGTGTTGTTCTTTTGTTTTTGGGAAGATACTGAGGACTCCAACTCACACAGCTGCCATATGTGTGTAGAATTTACCATATTTGCCGGCGTATAAGATGACCCCAATATTTCCACTACAAAATATAGAGTTTGTTATATACTCGCCATATAAGACTACCCCCTCCCTCTGCCTTTTACCTCTCTCCCCCCATAACGAGGCGTGCCACGGATTGGGGCCCAAGCAACGGTAGGGCTTACCTGAGGTGTGGGGGGAAGGTCTTAAAGGCTAGGTGGCGGTGGGGCGGACTGACAGGGCGAGCCCACTTTTCATAAGATCCTCCACCCTCAGTCACAGCAGCTGGAGATTCACCTGATGAGGGCTCGGAAGCTGGGAGGGGCGGCGACCGCCGGGGTGGCCACGCCTGAACAACCCCAGGAGGCTTGCATTGGTTTCGGCGGCAGGCTCAGGGGTGGGGAGGAGCATTAGGGACACCCTTCCCGGATGGCGCGGCCTGTGTTCGCAGGCCAGCCTACCCACTTCTGGCTGTCTTTTCTTGGCGGGTGCAAGGGGGATTCCCGAAGACAGTAGCCGGAGGCCCCGGCAGCCTTGCCTTTCCCTGTTCGGGCTGCCTGTCGGGGGCACACGGATATACCCGCTCTGTGCTGTAGGGGGGTTTGTCAGTTTGGGTGGGGGAAGCCCCTGGATACCCGGCGTATAAGACGACCCCCCCCAATTGGAGACATGTTTTTCAGGGCAAAAAAGTCATCTTATACGCCAGCAAACACGGTACATGGATATTTATTTAATTCCCTACCTTATCCATTGTTACTAGTACTAACCTATTTCTAAACATACTGTACCTTTCTAGGCAGGCTTCCCTCCCATACACAAACCTCATTTCTGGTCTGTTCTTTTTCTTTTCCTGCTCTTACTACTATTTTTTTCTGAGACTGTTTGTCAGTTTTAAGCTTCTATGAGCTATTTGTGAGTGCAGTTCTTGTGAGAAACTTTATAAAAGAAGGATGCCATAAACTCCATTCGTATGCTATCTTCAGCACACAGTGCTGAAACTGGATTATGTGTGGGAGATTGTATAGAGCACATTATGCCACTCAGATGGCAAGAGCAACATGGCATGATTAGTCAGAATATGTAATTTTTTCATATCCATTCATGATTTTCTGTTTCTGTCAGCTAAGATGTTGATGTGCTCCTGTAATTCTTTATCTACTATGAAATGAGTTATTTATTTAATCATAATTTCATAGTTATTGTTTATGCTATTCAGTGTATTTAATAGGTTTGGAACTCCACAATGCATCAGTATTAGAGACGGGAGTATTTGTATATGAATACCCCCCAGAGGTGAACATAATGAGGGTCCACTCACCGATCCAGTAATGCCGCAGGGTTCACACTCCAGTCCTATTTCTCCAGAGATCGCAATTGGCTAGGCACACCTGGCAGGTGGTGGGACGACAAGCCTCTCTGCCAGGTCGAAGAGTGGCTCACTGATTGCAGTCTCCAGAGCAATAGGACAGGAGCAAGGGCCCTGTGGCATTAGCAGATCTGTGAGTGGACCATCCGGCCAGTGGGCCAGACCCTTGTTATCTCCACCTATGCGGGGGTATTCGTATTCATCTACGAATTCCCCATCTCTAATCAGTTTACTGTATTTTTCCATAGGCAATACTTTTCTCTAAAATCTTTAGATTAAAAATTGAGAGTCGTCTTATACACAGAAGTAAGGAGGGGGGAGGGATCAAAGCACTTTAATTCCTGCTTTTCCACTCCACTTTTTGCAAAGAAAGTAGGGGATCAAAGCACTTTGATTCCTGCTTTTCCACTCCACTTTTTGCGAAGAAAGTAGGGGGGGGAAGCACTTTCCTCCCAAGAAAGTGAAGGGGAAAGCTCCACTTTCATGTGAGGAAAGTGCTTTCCCCCTCTACTTTCTTCACAAAAAGTGGAGGGGGAAAGCAGGAATCAAAGTGCTTTGATCCCTGCCTTCCCCCTCCACTTTATTGTGAAGAAATAAATTTTGTGTTAGAAAAGGGGGGGTCTTATACATGTCTTATACACAGAAAAATACAGTATATTAGGATGCAACTTTTGCCCTCACTGTGATCCATATTTTAAACTACTCCTTTTAACTAGTTTTCCTGTAGAGAGAGTGTATTAAATACTTCAGCTTTTAAATACAAACTTAAATTATAATGGAAATAGGAAATTAGTTGCTTGTGGAATGGAATGTCATCACACAACCTAATTCTGTGCTTGCATTTTAAAGAATATTCCTCTGTTTCTGCAGAAGCAGGTCCTACTGGGTTCTCAGTCTAGAATTGAAGGCTTAGCCTATATAGAGAATTCTTGTTGCCATTCTTGTGGTTTTATTTATAAGAGTTTTGCTTGTGTTCTCAAAAGACTGTGAAATTCATGATCCATGTTGGTGGTGAAGAGGGCACATAAAGTTCATACTACTCTTTCTAACATAGAATGTGTTTTAGATTTTTTTTCCCCCAGTAAGTTGAGCAGGCTACAATAACAACTTGGTGTGCACAGGAAGGTCCAAAATCTTGTTGGAATAAATTAATAAATTTCAGTGCAAACATCTACAGGAGATTTGCAGTTAGAACTGGTTTGATACACATGGAAAACAAAGTAAAATATACATTCTAAGAAATGTCAGCACATTGGCATATTCTGAGGACTGAGTTTGGAACAGACTTTAAGGAAAATTAACATCTCATATCATTCAATGACTGTGCATCTTTCTGTATTCTGACAGTAAGAAGAGAAATCGTGGAAGTTATGATATTCTGAAATAGGAATTAATTTCTTGTAATTTTCTCTTCCTAGAAAATTTTGCAGTGTTTTGTCCTCCATGACTGCTGAAAATGTTGATGTTCAAAATGTTAACATGCTTTATTTTATGCTAGAATATGATTAAACAAAAAGTTGCCACCAGAAATAATATACTTATATTACAAGCATTTTTCTATAACCCATATTTACCATATTTATAATTACTATATGAACCATATTCTAATTTCCGATGCATACCTCAATTTAGTTTTGCTTGTAAAGTCTCCCCACTCCTTTTTATTCTTTTTATACTCAATAGTTGAGTTGTCAGTAAGTTAGAAATGCTTCTTAATACAGCTTTTTAAGAGCAGAATGAAGATAGTCATGCGGAAGAACCTTTTGGTTCCTTTCTCTTGAACTAACTCTCAGATCCAAATTACATAAAGATCTGTAAGCAGAGTATTCTGGAAAGCCAGTTCACACATGTGAAATACCTACTTGACCCACTGTTGAATATTTATTTTTCTCATTAGAGGGTCTCGCTTGGCATTTTGATGTTTATTTTGTATACATATGTCTGTTGGTATTTTATATAGAATTGTGTATTTAATAGTCATACACCTAAAAATATATGTACCCGAATTTTGTGTACTAATACATGTCCAACTGACTCAATTTCCCTGTTCCTTCCCAAATAGTAACATTTCAGCACCTGAACTCATTGACATGAAATAGTGTCTCTGATTACTACTTAATGATAGAATTAATAATCCTACTAGTCCCATGAGAAGATACATATAAATATTCACAGAAAAAAAGATGAGAATTATATTGTTTTGAGGTTTGGACCAACTAAAGCTAGAGGATGTGTAAGCCCTACTCTTCAAATACAGTGGTGCCTCGCATAGCGAGGTTAATCCGTTCCGGATTAACCATCGCTATGAGAAACATCGCTCAACGGAACAAAAAAATCCATTAAAACGCATTAAACTTGGTTTAATGCATTCCAATGGGCCCTAAACTTACCGTTGAGCGAAGCTTCTCCATAGGGGCGGCCATTTTCGGGCCCTCGCAAAGCGAGGGCGCAGCGGGAAAAGTTGCGGTGGCCATTTTGGAACCGCCGATCAGCCGTTTTCCCACGCTTCGTTGTGCGAAAATCGCTAAGTGAATCGCTTAGCGATCGTCGCACAGCGAAAAAACGCCATAGGGGCCATCGCTGAGCAAACGCTCCAGCGATGGCCCAGACCCCCTCGCTATGCGAATTCATCGCTCAACGGAGCGATCGCTAAGCGAGGCACCACTGTATAAAGTCTTCAGGATAGGCCAAGGATATCCACTGCTACTTGAAATGTGACCTGATCAATACTACAGAAGTTGGCAAGAGGGAAAACTTGCCAGTCGGGGAGACTTGTTTTAAGAGTCTTCAATTTATCATGGTAAAGGTAAAGGTTCCACTTGACAAATGTCCAGTTGTGTCTGACTCTAGGGGGCGGTGCTCATCCCCATTTCCAAGCCATAGAGCCACCGTTTGTCTATAGACAATTTCCGTGATCACGTGGCCAGCGTGACTAGATACAGAATGCCATTACCTTCCCACCGAGGTAGTATTTATTTATCTACTTGCATTTTTACATGCTTTCGAACTGCTAGGTTGGCAGGAGCTGGGACAAGCAACGGGAGCTCACTCCGCTGTGTGGATTTAAACTGCTGATCTTTTGACCTTGCAGCCCAGAGGCTTTGCCATTTAAGCTGCAGTAAAATGTCCCAGCATTGGCATCTAGTTTCTGCCTAATAACAGTTTATGTGAAGAAAACATAGGACATTGGGAGAAAATATCATTTTCTAGAAAGATGCAGTCAAAGAGAACTGGTTTTCTTATTCTTAATATACACATAGTACTGTTACCATGCTTTCTTGGGATGTTTATTTGGGACGCATATCCCTGTACACATATGAAACCTTTATTTCCACACCCAGGTA